AACCACTTTGGTGGTGCTGATGGGGGACTGATCCTGTTTTCTGTGGAGCAACCACAAGACACATGTAAACAAACAAGGTGATTTCAGATAATGGTAAATGTTATGGGAAAAATAAAACAGGACGAGATAAACAGTGAGGGGTGGTGGCAGTCAGCGGATGGGGAAAGGGTGAGCTCTACAGAATTATGTATGTGGCAACTTAATCTCTTGACTAAAACTCCACTTGATGTGGTGGAGACTACCAGCTGCCTCCCAATATTTTCCCTTTCTCCATAATAAGAAAGGAATAATAATATTTCATTTCTTCCTCCACTTTTAGCTGGGTACATGGCCTCCTAGAATAAAAATGCCATTTTCCAACCCCTTAACTGGGAGTGGTCATGGGACCACATTCCAGTCATTGGGATTAGACTGAGTCCCATTCTCCTGACCAGATGTAGGCTTGGTGGTTGGAGCTCCAGAGACCACCCTGGAGTATAGCATGACAGTGGGGACCCAAGTTGTACAGAGCAAAGCCACGGAAGGGAAGGACCATAGGTCCCTATGTTGCAGAGCACCCCAGCTCTGCCTGCCTCCCTCCACTTGAACCTCTAAGACAAAACCCCAGTATCTTGTTAGAGGTGCTGAAGTTTTAGGTTTTGTGCCTTTCCCACCTGAATGAATCCTAAACCATACACTTATTGGACATACCACTTTCGAACCTGTTATCTTCTGTCTTTTCATACCTCTCACCGACTCTGTTTTCTCTACTTAGTCCTGCTTCTTTTCTTCTTTTCCTTTCCCTCCTATTTCCCCCTTTATTTCTGTTCTTTTCTCCTTATTGAGCATTATGCAAAAGTCAAATATCTTGACCTATTCTCTATTGAATATGTTTTAAAAGTAACTTATTATAGAGAATGTAAAATACACAAAAGTAGACAGAATAGAATACCAAATCCTTCTGCACTCACAACTCTGCCGCACCAATTTTTAATCTACGGTCAACTCAGCCACATCCATACTCCAGCCTCTTGACCCTTTCTACGTTATTTTGAAGCAAATCTCGGATCTCATATTATTACTGAATAAAGTTTCAGGTCTTTCTGTTGCTTCAAAAGCAGATGAAGCTACATTTTTCTTCTAGAAATAAAGCCAAATTTTTAACTCATGTTTTTCTTCACTTCATAAAACTCATCCTTTTCATATTATCTTCTTAAGTGTTCACCTTCCTAGTTCCCTGCTCTTTGCCCTCCCCATTCCTTTTTTCCTCCCTCATTCCCTTCTTCCTCCCTCTTTCTGTATCTAATACATCTTTTGCCTATAAGCCCCCCCCCACACATTTTTTAAAAAAAGGAAATCCAGGTCTAATTTTCCCAGTCATAGTTGTGGTTCTTTGGTATACCTACCTCTTTCGATTTTCAACCACTTAGAATCTGTTTTGCCAAAATGGCAGAGTTCCCTCATTTATAGTTCCTTTATGAGTTTGAAAGAAAGTATTTTTAAAAAGTCACATAGTTCCCAAACTACCCTCCCCCTGTCCCCATAATAAAAACTGGCTATACTAGTAGTACACTGTGAGAAAATATAATTAATGAAAGCAATCCAGTTACAGTAATAACCCAAATTAAGTGTTGGATGTTATTTTAATTATACAAACTCTAAAACCCTACTGATACTGAAGACTTGTTTTTATAATATCGATAGGGCATTGAACTTTTATGTCATTGGACCTGGGCCATGTAGATGTTTTCCCACAAAGCAAGCTGGAACTGTTTTGATATCACTCATGCATAAGAATCAAGCATGTTTCTCATAGGCAGAATGTCACCAATCTTTTGGAGTGAGTACAAACAATTTGGACATGGTGGAGGCAGATCTTGCCTCCAAATGGTATGATTACAGAGTCACTGTCAAATTCTCATAGATTTTGTTTTTATTTTGTTATCTTGGTGAAAAATCAGTTTGTGACTTTTCACACTGTAATAGAACAAAAAGAACTATGACCAATCAACACACCGGTCTTTACATACCTTTGGAAACAGACTATGTTCCTATACATTACAAACATATTTCTTCTCTGGGAAGTTGTGGGAAGTGCGTGTTACTCCACCCATTGCTTTCAGCTATTACGTTGACCTTCACACCAATAAGAAAATGTGGTGAAAGAACTTGTAATTGTTGCTCCTTGTGTTTACTTGTCTAACCTAAATCTAAAGTCTTTGAGAGCAAGGGCTTGTTGCTTTCATCTTTGTATCTCAAAACACTCAGCTTGTAGGGTCAGGCCAATCAACAATCAATGTGTGTCCAAGAACATTTTATGAAATGAGTAAATACAGAAACTCTTTAGGAGAACCAGTAGCACAGCTTATTGAAGTTCAGGTTCATTTTGCAAGTTGGCACTCAGTGCCTCTTTTGTTCTTTACTCTTAGTGGTTTTCTCTCTCTTTTTTAATTCCAGTTAGTTAACATACAGTGTTATATTAGTTTCAGGTATACAATACTCTTAGTAGTTCTTAAGAAGTATTTTTACTTTTCTTATAGTCTTAACATGATCATTTTCCTTATCATGTCCCACTACTTCAGTATTCTTAGCTTTTTTGACATGATACTAACATTTAACCAACCTCTCCTAATACTCTTAAAATTGTGTGTTCTTACTTCTATGCCCAAGTGGGGTTTGACTTACATTTTCAGATACAGTGTGAGTATTTAGGTCTATGTACTACTCATAATAAAGTGAGTAGAAGTGTTTTCTCAGAAAAGCTAAAAGAACTATTTCCTGAGCTAATGGTTTTAACTGGAGGTCAGAGATTTAAAACTTCTCCTCCTTATGGTCTTGGTAAAACAACTGTTTAGAAAAGTTGCATGTATAAATAATATTCTAGCAAATCACACACTGTTTGAGGAAGAAGTGGAGAGAGAGAGGCAGAGAGACCGTGCTCTAACTAGACATTCATCTACATGTCTAGACATTCATTCCACATTGAAATATTTAGACTTTTCAGTAGCCTGTGAATACAAGAAAATTTCTTACATTAAGGTAGGGTTTAGATATTTGACACGTAGCTGATATTTTCATAGTGCGAGAAATATCAAGCTGACATTATGCTTTCTCTGTGATGACTTCTTCCAAATGTCAGAGAGTAGAAACTCATTTGTGGGATTTCAGGGCCTTAGGATAGTGTCAATTTAAAAGACATTCACATCGACTCCTTTTTTATTTAAACATGCTAAATGGAGGATGAAAAGCAGGTTAAGAAATCAACAGAGAAAGGAAGAGCAAAGAAGAAACCTATTGACAAGAAAATTTTAAGACAGATTGACGGACTCTTACATCAATTTCATAAAACCCTATCTGACAGCAAGCTTTGTGATTGCCTCCTAATATTTCTGACAACTGGAGTCTTGCTGTTCATATTATTTCACTCATATCAGTTATGTTGAGTTTGGGAAATTAAAAATAAGATATGAACTATTTGATTTTTTGTAGACTATCTTAAATAAATAAATCAAATAACCAATATTTGTATTTTAATACTGACATTGGACTTCAAACTAAAATCAAATAACCTAAGTGATATTTTAAATTAAAAATTTATTCTTTTGTTCACCAAACTCCTTAGAAGCTAATTATGAACCTACGGAACTGCTATTTTGGAAATAACTCAAAGAAATTTTAAAAATTGTTATTAAACAAATTGACCACATTAGAGATAATTATGTGTTTAAATAAACCTTTGTCTTTCCCAATTATGTGCACAGCAGTGCTCTTAATTACTTGGGGTCACTGAAATCCCAGTGCATCCTGCGAAAAGCATTTCTCCTGCAGTCTATCTGGTTAGATTTCCTTTCTTTTTTTGGAAGCCAGCACCTTTTCCTTTTTAAAATCCCTTTTTAGCAACAGTGGGAATGATGTTGAGCATGGTAACATGGATTCAGAATCTTAAAATCAGCCCTGTTTGTTGTGACTTCTGTAGGTCAATGACAGGAGTCACTGTGTAGCCATCTAAGTTCTCTGATTTATCTTACAAACTTATTTCTGATACAAAGAAAAAATTGTGGAACCTCAGTGAGCTGGACCAGCTACTTCTTGGGGCTGCAAAATTTTAAATTGTTACTTAGAAAAACAAGAGGACAAGCCAAACACGCTAACTGATAGAACTATCACAGAGGATCATTGTAATCTTGTTCACTAAATCAAACCTGGAACAGAATGGGTTGATAATTCTGTTACCCTATTGGTATTGCTCAAATTCTTAAATTGAAGGGCTGGATTCAAGGACGATCATTCCATTATTAGGCTTTAAGAGCCACACTGTTTTGTATTGCATCGAATATCACAAAATGAATAATATTGAAAAGCTAGAGTTTGCTACGTTTACACACTTGTACTCCCCAAGGCCAAGGAGTCTGGGCTGCCCCCTGTGAAGGCAGGAGACAAATGGGGAAGGTTAAGACTTTGCTTCCAGTAACCTGGCGCATAGCTACCCACAAGGTCCAGAGCCACCCCAGTAACATCCTTAGAATGGCAGGACCTGCAGGTCCTAGGCTTTTGCCGGGTTAAGAGAAAGAGGTCTCAGGAATCCGGCCCTGGTCGAGTCCCAGCGCCAGTTACAGCTCTGCATCTGGGCTTGTTACTGCCCTGGGCCTTTTCCGGGTGTCTCACACTGCCAGAGTCACTAACAGCTTCATCGGGACAGAGTATCTCCTGCTAACTGCAAGGTCCCCGACACCTAGTTCAGTTCTGAGCCGGACCAGGGCTCACCTCCTCACTGGTCACTTTCCCGCTTGTTTTTGTCTTCCTAACCGTCAAGTACCTTTCGCCCAGTCTGTCCACCCCGGCAGCCCAGAGCCAAGTCTGGGCGGGAATGGTGAGTGTTCAAAGCCTGGGCTACAGTTAGAGGATTTCGGGCGTCTCGAGTCTGCAAGTAGGAGCTTCTGGGAGGACTCCTAGGTCCCCGTCCCCGCTCCGGGCGGCGCTCGAGGGAGACGCGGGGCGCCCCCCAGTGGCCGCCCGTCCACGCCGCTCCGGGCCGGTAGGGACAGTGGCGGCGGCGGCGGCGGAAGGGGAGGTGCGGCGGCGGCGGGGCGGCCATGGCGGAGCCCGCCCGGGAGGAGCTCTCGGCCTTGGCCGCGATTTTCTGCGGGCCCGACGAGTGGAAAGTGCTGAGTCGCTCAGGTGACTACCCCCGCGAGGGAGGGGCCGGGCGTCCTTCCTCCCCACCACCGGGACTGGGCTCCCTGCCCCGGGGCCCACCCGCGCGGACCCGGCTAGTTGAAGGATGGAACGACACGCACGGGGACTGGAGATGTGTGGGAGCAGGCGGGAGAGTGAGGCGACCCCCACCAACGTGAACAGCGTGGCGGCGCTCCGCAGGGGACGGAGACCGCAGCGCCCAAGCCGGTGCGGCTCTCCGGCCGGCCCCCGCCTTCCGCGCCTGTCCGGCCCGCGCCCGCCCCGCTGCCACGGGCCGAGCGCCGGGCCCTGCGCGCCCGCAGCCCTCGTCCCGGAACGCACTCCACCCAGCTTCCCGGGCCGCCGGTGTCGACTTCAGCTCTCACCTTGAAAAGAGGCCTGTTCTGACACCCCCAGGTTAAACCCAACTGCCCCAAATTGTATTTTGCCCGTTGTAAGCTCTGTGCATTATTCCTTCAGGGCACTCAACCACAGTTTTAACTCTCTGGGCATTGAGTGTGCCAAGTTGCAGGTGGGCGGGGACCCTGTCACGTAACCACAAAACTCCGTGCACCTAGGACAGTGCCAGGCATATGGTAGTTAGTAAATGTTTGTTGAATGAGTCTTTGAATTGGCCCAGTGCTCTATCCGAACCTTTTCTCAGTTAGGTTTCCTAGTTGATAGCTCTTCCTTTGCGTTTTTCTAGTCCGCTGAAAGGTGGCTGTCAACTAGAGGCTCTTGGGGGCGCGTTGATCTAACTCACGTGTACTGATTCCCTGTAAACACTAACAGGGTTTCAAAGACACCGCCCATGTCCTCTGGGAGCTTACAGTCTAGAAAGGTTCTTTTGGCTATTTTTTGATGATAGTTAAAACTTATTCTGTCCCTGTCTGTGACTTCTATTAAGTAAAAGCCAAAACTGCACTTTCAGTTTTCACTTAGCTTTTAAATACATTACGTAAATTTTTTGGCATGGGATTTAGCCTTCTGTTATGTTTCAGCAACTATTAAAATTGCCTTTCTGACCATAAATTGGTTGACCTTTAAGAAAGTAGTCTAAAAATGTTCTGGGTGTTGTGAGAAAACCATCTAGGACTAAGATGAGTTTCATGGTATCATTTGGTTGCTTATTCACACAGGAAGCCAGAGCTGGGCCTTTTCATGTATTCCTTCTTGCATAACCTGTGGTCATGTGACCACTGTTCTGATCCTGGCACTGTGAACCAATTCGGGTAATGGAGCTGCTTCCTTTTCAGTGCCTAGCCTGTCTTGCATCTTATATAGAAGCTCTCATTGACAATCCATATGAAATAATTTATTTTTAGTGTTTTCTTGTCACCCCCCCCTTCTGATTGGATAGCATTCATAATTCTTCATCGTCGTACTCACTGTCTCCATGTCTCTATTGATAATTACTTCTGCCTGAGGCAGGCTGTTTGGGAGATCATCAGTTTTTCTAAATTCTTTCATAATGGCTCGGTTGAAATATCCTGGAAAAATGAACATATGATTTCCCATCACTCCTTAAAAAGGATGGAGTGGTAGCCGGGTCATGAGTACATAGCTGTGCATAAGATACTGCTGATGGGTCAGAGAAAATGTAAAAAAGTAAGCATAGAAAGAAAGAGAGCAGTTTCTTAATAGCGAGAACACTGTGAACCCTTTATCTGCTGTTAAATTGAGCATGACTTTCAAGCCATGCCTCCTAATTAATTTAATTCAGCATTCTGGCATCAATAAGTAATTGAATTATAAAAGAATTCAGTGTAACAACTTAGGACATTTTGTTGCTGAAAGGTTCATTGGAGAATAGAACAATTCAGTGATTGAAATAGGGATGTTTGATGTTCACAACTGGGAATTAAGGGTAAGGTAAGGCCTTCTTTAATAGACCACAGTAAACATACAGCGGGTTGCTGCCTGTCGTTCTCATGGTCACTGTCAGCCTGGGTTGGAGGATACAAGATTGATACCAGAACATTCTTAACACCATCAGTTCCATTCTGGCCTCCCTGCAAATAATGCTGCTTCTTGTTGCCCCTGGAATCAGGAGAACACTGTGGGACATTGTGGGTGGGATTGCACTTCTGGTATGAGGTTGCTCAGGAAGGGTTAGGCTGCCAGCCCAAGGGTCAACCATAAGAGTGAAGAACCTGACTAATTGGAATCAGTTAGGTTGGGCTAATGTGTGCTGGGAATTTCAGGGTACTTAAGCACATGGCCTTGTTATAGTGGTTATAGTAAGCTCATAGTAAGAGGCTTCTCTTATGGGTGCAAATGATGTAAACCCCCACACTGCTGTCTACTAGGGAGTGCTGTGGGTAGACCAAATCAGAAATATTCTACCCCTCCCTGTACAGTGCAGTCAGGCCAGGTGCCTGGTTTAATGGGGTCACCTTCCATGTACCTCATACTTCAAATGCATCTTACTTGGTGAGGGGTACTCTTAGCTTTGTTTTATAGAGAAGTTAACGGATGCTCAGGCTGGTTAAGTAACCACCAGGCACCAGAGTGTATGGACACTTGATAGAAATGGGGCTGCTCTATGAGGAAAAGAATTCTTAGCAAGGATAACACTTGTGAAAGAGCAATAATGAGCACCCAGAGAAAGGAGATGCATGTCACCCAACTTAGATTCTGAGTAATTTTGAAGGGGAGTGTGTGGGCATTCGTATGTGTGCACACCTATCAGATAGATGATATTGTTATAAATCCTTATTTTCCTGATGAGATAGGTAAGGGTCACAGATTATATTGCTGTCGTCAGTGCTCATTATATGTGGAGTCGTATTTCTGGCAATTGTGGATCAAAAAGTTGTAAAATGGGAGGTATATGACTCAATATCATATAATATGTTTGCACAGTAGCTTCAGCGTGAATTTTTGTCTTCTGCTAACATTCATGTTCAGATTGGATTGGGCCCTCTTGCAAAATGAATCATGACTGTTACCCACTGACCCCTCTAAATCTGCTCAGCTCTGTTTCCTGCTGATTGTCAGTACTGTGCTCACCTCTGTAAAACCAACTCAGCCTTGAACTTGACTTCTAAAGGATGGGATTGCCACTTTTAGCTTCACTTATTTTTAGTTTTCCTTTTGCTTTGTTTCTCTAACCACATTTTAAACACATATAAAAATCCAGCCGTAGCATAAAAACAAGCATGAGTGGATGCATACTTGTGGTGAGCTGCCTGGGAGGAAGAGGAAAGAAAGCCCCATGCAATGAAGTACAAGAGGGGATTGGGGGCTGCTTCTTGGTTTTCTGAACAAAGGCTTACTTTGAGGATATCTAAAAATTGAAAAAAAAAACCAAAAAAACAAGTAAAAGGAAAGTCAGTTGTATATGGCTTCTTAATGGGCTCTAAATAAATCTTGAAGAACTCATTCTATGAAATTGTTTACATTTTCCAAAATCTTCTGTTATTGGACAGCATTCATTAAGTTCCTATTATGTGACTGTGAAATAGGGGAAATCCTTAAAAATAACACTGCTGTGGAATTTGGGGTTCCGTTCAGTTTCTCTAGTTTGAAACTTTGTTGTTTGGTGTGTTGTTAGGTGTATAATTTCTTGCATGTACTTGCAGGGAAGAACAAGGTCTGAAACCTATTTTCGTTAGTGTTTTATTTATGAAATTGATACACTTATAAATAAGGCAGGGTGACTTAAAAAAACAAAACAACAACAGCTAGGGAATTTTTATGTGAATTTCAACCAGAGGCAAGGCCTACATCTTTTGGTAGGCTCTTTGGATTAAAATAGTCTTGGAACTTATGAAAATTTTAGTTTTCTAGGGCAAGCATAAGTTTTCTGGGGCATAGATGTTTATTGACAATGATGAATTTGTGAGTTAATAGAGAGTTTTTTGAGGTCAGGGAGGGGCAAAGATTAGCATGAGATTTAGAGCAGATTATTTTTCTGTTAATCACTCTGAGCTGTTAATAGTCTTAAAGCAGATAGAGGCAGCTTTGTTTTTTGTGTATCTCTCTTTTTTTTAATGAAAAAGTCAGATTGACAGTACATGTGGTTATATGAAAAATTCTGACGTGAGAGAGAGCCAGTCTAATTGCATGTACAAACTAAAGCAGATGTGAAAGCAGGGTAATACACACACTTCTAGAGTTTTAGGGAGAAAATGAGTTTTTAAAAGAATGTATAATTTTATTACCACATTAAATATCAGCAGAGTGGGGTTGTTATTGGCCTTTTCATTTTCCTATAGAGATAACATCATTTTGTATAATTTTTAGTTTGCAGCCCTGGTGTGTGTGTGTGTGTGTGTTGGGAGGGGGAATGGGCAGGGAGTCGCTGTCTCTGAGAAGACCAATTAGGAAGAATGTTAATCCTTCCCAGTTCTTGAAAGAATCAAAGCAACTTTTCTTCTAAACATATAACTAATAATTTTACAATTTTCTAAGGCAAAAGTAAAGATTTCTCCCATTGCTTTTTTTTTTTTTTTTTTTTGAGAGAGAGAGAGCGTGAGGTGGAGAGAGGGTGAGAGAGAATCCCAAGCAGGCTCCACACCCAGCATGGAGCCCCACACAGGGCTTGATCCCACCACCCTGAGCTGAAATCAAGAGCTGAACGCCCAACCAACTGAGCCATCCAGGTGCCCTTCTCCCTTGTTTTCTATTTGCTGACTAGGACCAGAAAATCACTAAGAGAGAAAAATACAAATTCATCAGGATTTGAAAGGCCAGATCAATAGCATTTCCACACTTTCTCCCTGGACTGCCTGTTTCTGTCATTTGGTTACCTGCACTGGGGAGGAACAGGTGGGTACTTATATGGCAGAGATTGGAGAACACTGTGGGTTTCAGGGTTTTGATCAGAAAGGGATTCTTGCTTGAAGGGAAAAGCTTGCCTTGTGGACACAGGTACTATATTAGTTTCCTGTGGCTACTATAACAAATTTCCAAAAATGTGGTGGCTTAAAATAACACACATTTTTTTCTCTTGTAGTCCTGGAGGTCAGAAGTCTGAAATCAGCTTCACCAGGCTGAAAGCATGTGGTCAGCAGGGCTATGTTCCCTCTGGAGACTCTAGGGGCAGAATCCACTTCTTTGCCTTTTCCAGCTTCTAGAGCTGAATTCTTGCACCCCTTCGCTCATGGTCCTCTATCTTCAAAGCCAGTAGCATGACATCTGACTTCAGTGATTACATTGCCTTTTGTGGTACAGTTTCCCTCTGCCTTGCTCTTATAACGACACTTGTGATTACATTTAGGGCCCATCTCAGGATCCTTAACCTAATCACATCTGCAAAGGCCCTTTTGCCATGTTCTGGGGATTAACACATACACATTTTGGGGCCATTTTTTAGCCTATCACAGGTAGCAAGGACTTCTGTACCTGTGAGCCCCGTGGTTAGAAGCTAGTGCTCAGACTGTTTAACTGTAAAATTTAAAAGTTTCTTATAACTTGTAAAATTATTTCTTGGTTGTTGTCTAAAGAGAAAATTTTGGGATATTCCAGTGGTGAAGAAAATAGTTCATTTGGTTCAACCATAATAGTTCTGGTAGGAAAGTACCACAAAATAAGTTCAAAGTACCATGGGTATCATAAGACAGATTTTAGAGAGGTGATGTTCATTGAATGATGAATAATGATGAATATATGAAGTTCTTCAGAAGTTATGCCTCCCCTTGAAGGAGAAAGTGGGCTCCCTAAAGGATTTCTGGAGAGTTTATTCAGTCTATTGGTCATATGTTGTGTGTAGGTATTTAATAGTGCCCATTTCACATAGTGAAGTGTACTGATCTAACTGACATATAGGGACCCTATTTAATAATAAAATATTAAAAAAATAAGGAACTGGGTGGAAGAAAGAAGGGTTTTGAGAAACATGGATTGTAGAGGAATGTACTAAGTTAGGTCTGGAAAATTTTTCTTTGTACAGTACCCATTTTACTTGTGTAAACACATTTTAGTTGTATCATTTTAATATGGTCTTTATAATGGTTGCTATCTGTGTTTCTGGGTGGTGTCTTAAAATAGTAGTACTTTGCATCTGATACCAAAGAGTCTATTAAAACAACAACAACAAAAACCTTTTTGTAGCAGATGTGTTTGGTCCCGTGTGAATCAACGTCTGTAACAAGAGCTTTTATATAAATGGAATCAGATGGCTAGAAAGCCATGTTAATGTTCTGTTTGGTTCTTTCAAGGGGGACACAGTCAGGTTCCAGTTGTTGAGGCTATTGAGCAGCAATCCAGGTATGAAAATGAGGAAGGTGTGCCTGCCTCTCTCGTGAAGGGGGATGGAACAAGGGCGTGTGGAGAAAGAAGTGGGGTAGAGAGAGGCAAGTTAGCTTCAAAGAGATTCGTCTGCACCCAGTTGTTCTACTCTGCTCTTCTGATCTGTGTGCTTCTGCCCCCTGCAGAATGAATCAGCCTGACGTTTTATCAACTTTTTGAAAAGTGGGGTGAAGCCGTGTGGAACACATCAGAGGGGTGAAGTCGAGCAAATCTGAAAGGGAGCAGTGTTTCATCTCCTAGCCTGTGTGTGCTTCCCTCCTCCTCCTCGTGGAGCCAGAGAGGGCTGAATTGATGTCCGCCCCATTTTAGTTCATCCTGCTACCTTCATGTTACACTGATACAAATACATTTGAAGTCAGAAAAGAGCGGGGCCAGGCAGTTACTGTCTCATGCACAGTCATCAGTTTCTTGGACCCTGCAGCCACACAGCATTCCGGTGTTTGCTTTGACTTGGTTTTGCAACACGATGACCTTCCTTGGATGCACTGTGTAACTTTTAAATTAATCACTGATTTTATATATATGCAACACTCTTTCTCTGAATGTTCATGTGAGTTTATTACGAGTTTCCAGAGTTAGAACTAAGTGAGGGTAAAAAAAAATTGTGTGATGAGAAGCCATTCTGGTAAACCTGAATAAAAATGGGGCAATGGTGAATGTAAATGCCACAGAAACCGTGGGTGCTGGGATACAGGAATCCATGAGTATATGTGTATGGTTGAAGGAGATAATCTGTAAATCAGGGCTCTCTTGGGATTGTGTGTCTCCTTTGTAAAGTAACTCCAGTTTTCTCATGAAACATAAATTGACATCGGAAACGAAAATTTTAACTTCTTAGTGTGCCATTCAAATAGAATTATGTATAGCTAATTATTATTTTTGGATGCTTTCCAGAGACAGATGGGACTGTGTTCAGAATTCTCACAAAAGCCGAAGGACTTATGGGTGCGGATGTACCTTTAGAATTGGTGTTCCATTTGCCACTCAATTACCCTTCGTGTCTACCTGGTATCTCGGTCCACTCTGAACACCTGACCCGGGCCCAGTCCGTGACTGTGAAAGAGAAGTTACTTAAGCAAGCAGAGAACCTTTTGTCGGAACCTATGGTTCACGAGCTGGTTCTCTGGATTCAGCAGAATCTCAGGCACGTCCTCAACCAACCAGACACTGGAAGTGGCAGTGCAAAGTGTACTTTTGCAACAGGCACGATTGTGGATGATGGACCGTGGCTAACTCTTGTGCATTTAGATCACATGAGAGCAAAGACCAAATATGTCAAAACTGTTGAGACGTGGGCTTCCGATTTAAAGCTGACAGGAAGACTGATGTTCATGGGTAAAATGATACTGATTTTACTACAAGGAGACAGAAGCAATATCAAGGTGCCAAAAAGTTTAATGTTGAATATGAATTTGGCTATTTTCTGCTAAAATGGTGTGTCTGTAAAGTGTGTTTTGTGACAATGGGACAGATTAATTATTAAGATGTTAATGGATCTCCATTTTTTAAAGAATGTCTCTATTTCCTAATTACAACTACAAACTTGCAAAGCTTGAAGAATAAGTAAATTATATCTTAAAAATTATTCCACATAATGAAAGGGATAGGTCATTAAAAAAAATCTCTGTGGTGTGTGAATGTTTCTCTAATTAGCTTTGAGCCTCGACTTTATAAATGTGCACTAAAAGTTTGTGCATGTTTGTATCGCATCCCTCAGGCACAGCAGGGTGTCTGTTTGTGGGTAGTGTGTAAAAGTTTTAACTTTTTGGCAGTTAAAAACACACCCTGACACTTTAATTTGGCTTCTGTAACACCTGGAAAGAGGAGCTGGTTCCTCCTAACCAGAATTTAGTGTTAGTGGAAGTAGTAGCTTCCGTAGGCTGTCAGCTTGTCACCTCCTACCTAACTTTTGCTTTCCACCTGACTTGTCTCAGCAGCTGCTTTCAAAATCATCATCATCTTCAGATTCTCCAAGTTCACATGCTCAACTCATCTAACCTGTTTTATGTGGGACCAGACGAGGAAAGCTGCTTATTAATATTTTAAATCTTGAAAGCGCTACAAATCACTTAATAGGTTTATGCTTTCAAATGGGTTGGGTCAAGAATACTTACAATTGAATTTATTCAAAACAGACTTAGCTTGCACAACCTATAATCTGAAAGATTTGTAGAATAACTACCTAGCTTTTTCAGGATGAGCGCTTATCACAATACTTACTTGGCATTTGGTTAACCAGATTAGTGCTGGGGTTGTAGCATATAGATACCACAAATAATTAAAGTTTAATTTAAATCTTGGTTTGAGGTCTGACCAAAGAACCAGATATTGCAAGGTGATCTATAGTATATCTATAAAATTTGACATTTTGGGTCAACTCCTGGCTGACAAAATGAATACAAATTAATTTCCTTGTTCATATTTCCCTAAAAGGCTCAGATTTTTCTTTAAGCCAGCTCAGGAATGTTAGGCTAAGTGCAGCTGTTTTGCAGATGATGTTACTCAGATTGGATCCATCAATTAATTAACAAGTACTTATTCATATGACTAGAACTTTGCTAATGCAGAGAAATTAATACTTTTTATTTGAAGAGTTTTTTCCTTTTTATGAGCTTTCCCTAAAGTGCCATTTAATGTAAATATCTCTGTTAAATTTTTTAAGATTATATGTCAGGATTGAGAATTACAGGTACATATTTATAGATGCCATCCAGTTTGGAATGGTCAGTGCTGTGTGCCTGTTAAGTTCTTTCAGACACAGAGGTAGTCATAATACTGCCACTAGCTGGTACTATTAATTGTGCCAGGCTGACCTCTGAGCACTTTGTATATATTAACTCATTTAATCATCACAGCTTCCCATAAGGTAGGTGCCGTTCTGAGTACCATTTTGTGGAGTAGGTTCCTGAGGCACATAGGGCTTAGCCTGGAATCAGATCTAGGAGGCCTTGAAGTCCAGATTTAAACCTACCGGCACATTCTGCTGCCTAGTATAGGAAGACACTGTAGCCCTCTTACTGCTGGATTCAGAAAGAGAGTACTCTAGGCAGGAAAATAAGCCTGCAGGATCATGGCTCCTTTAAAACTAGGACTTGCAGATTCAGAGTAAGATATGTATTTAATGTACTGATTTATCATTTAGGAGTACCTGATTCTTCAGAAAACCTCCAAAGTAGATGTGGACTCAAGTGGAAAGAAATGCAAAGAGAAAATGATTAGTGTACTGTTTGAAACAAAAGTACAGACAGAACACAAAAGGTATAATTTAGTACTATTGCAGATGGAAAAGTAACTGAATCGATAATTACACTCTGACAAATCTGGGCATATTCATGAGTTTCTCTTGTATAATGCAGGTTTCTGGCATTTGAAGTCAAAGAGTATTCATCGTTGGATGAGTTACAAAAGGAATTTGAAACTGCAGGACTTAAGAAGCTTTTCTCTGAATTTGTGCTCAGGCTGGTAAAATGAAACGAAAGACAGGAATCTCTTAGTAAGACAGCACTGGTGTTTTGTTTTGTTTGTGTTTTACGGTGGGTTTGGGGAATGGCTAATTGAAATCCTCATAAGAAAACAATTTTAAAGTTTCTCTGAAGCAAAATGATAGACACCATTCTAACTTCAGGGGAAAAAAAAAGCCCATTTTGTTTATGGACTATTAAACAGTAAAAACACCCATGTATTCTAATTTTTGCAAGTAAAGGCTAGGTTCAATAGATGGAACGTTACTGAAAGATAAATATAAAATGATGATGGTAAATGAGCCCTTGTGATTATATAGAGGATTTGTTTGGAACTGTGCAATTTTCTGGCCAATTTTCTTGTAATTAAATGAATTTTTTAAAGATTTGTTTTCATGTTCACTTTATTTCATGTTTACATTTTTAGCATTTGATCACGATTTTCCCCCATTCAGCTTATTATGTCTGATGTTTTAAGTTGAATGTTAAGAAAAATATAACACTGATTTCTTTGTGAAAGTGCATAAACTGTTAGTTTAAATACAAACCAAAGAAGTTCTATAGAACGTGATTTTTGATCACTTTCTTTGGGGTCCTAGATAGCATGGTACTTGTTAGTTGTAGGATTAGGGAGTCAACTTAAATTAAAATTCTTATTATTTTTTGCGGGGGCAGATGGAGAGGGAGAGAGAGAATCTTAAGCAGGCTCCATGCCCAGCGCAGGGCCCAACGTGGGGCTTGATGTCACGACCCTAAGATCATGACCTGAGCCAAAATCAAGAGTCAGATGCTTAACCAACTGAGCCACGCAGGTGCCCCTTAAAATAATTTTTGGGAAAACTTACCTTCTGGTTTTACAAGGGGAGAAATGTTTCACATAAAATGAACTTGTTGGATGAAGGAAATGATACAGAGATACTATTTTTTTATTTCTTAGGAAATCTGTTAAAGTATGATAATCTTAAAATGTATTTATTATGACCCAAGGAGAGAAGAAGCCATAAAATGAAAGCCTATATTACAATCTGTAACAAAAGTGTAAGGAGGCATTTATGTTTGAGAAAGGATATTTGTGTTCATAAAGCCAACTGTGCTTCCAAAATAAGGGGCCAAGTGATGGAGGAAAGGCCATGCAAATCCCTCTCCCTGCAATCTGTGAAGTACAGTGATATCATTACAAAATCATAACTGATGGGAGACATAAGTGAGGAAATGTTGCAGCATGTGGGTCGTGTTTCTTGATAGTGCTTCTCTGGGACCATGGTGGTTCAATCTGATTGTCTCACTTTCAGGCACCCTTATAGTTAAATTATACCTACCTTTTGATCATCTAATGGGGTTCTAATGAGAGGATTTTTGGTTCATTTTACCTCATTCCAGGGTGTTTATGATTTTTTCTTGGAGAACTGGTAAATGTAGTTAGGTTGTTCTATGGGAACAGCATATGGCAAGGAGAAGCTAGGCTACTGGTATGCTAAACTGAAAATAGGCTTGAAAATTCGGGGCTGGTCATTATTACTGCTTCATTTGATTTACTAAGCAAGGAGATTAAAAGTTATTGCCACCAGGGCTGTCACAGTAGAAGTAGTAGGGGGCTGGTTTGAATTTTATCACAACAGAACTGCTAGTCCTTTATTTTACCTTGAATCTTCTCTGCTCAAGTGTTTTCCATACCATGCTTTGTGGTTCCCCTCCAAACTTTTGTCTTCAGATTTGACCCTCTACCCCTAGAGAAGAACTTGAATCAGGCAAAACTGAATGTTGGTAGTGACTTTCTCCAAATTAATTAAATTTCTTTTTGCTAAAATTATGTTTAAAAAGTATTGGTTATGATTACTTTCTTGGATGTTTACATCCGAGTCTTTCACAAATATACACAACAGAATGCAAAACTAACCTTGACAGTGTTAGAGACTTATATAAATTTAATTTGACCATCTCTGAATAAAAGAAAATTTAAAATCATATGCAAAAAGTCTTTAAGAGTCTTTTTGGTATTTTATTAACTTTAGAAGAAGAGAATTGTTTGCATTGATATTTTTGCTTCAAACTCTGATGCTTTCTTTTCAGCCTGAGGTACTTATGAAAAGATAATTAGGACTTCTGGAAGAAAGAAGAGGTGAGGCCAAGGGCTGGGACCCCTGAAGGACTACACTGTAAGAGTAAGATTGAAGTGTAAATAAACTAATTGTCCTAGTACTATAGCTAAACTTCGAGGATTCTGTTAGGTCCAGAAAGTCTTAAACTTTGAATTTGGATTAAAGTAGTCCATGATTCTAATGTCCCCATATCTTCCAAATCTTTGGAGGAAGATAACATTATCCTAGGTGTCAAATTTTATCTATGAGTAATTTTAAAATTCAATATCCTGCAAATAATCAGAGATAATTGGACTCATGAAGAGACAAGATACTATCAGCGAGAAACAACAGAAACAATATACAATAGAAAAAGACCCACAGGGACTCTACATGCTGGAATTATTAGACATAGATCATGGAACAGTTATGCTTAGTATGTTCTAGTAGACAAAGGCCAAACTTGGAACTGGTATTAGAAACTGTAAAAGGTGATATGGTATATTTGTATTTGAAAAACAACAAAACAAAAAACAAAACAAGTTCTAGAATTGAAAAATATAAAAATTAAAGGACTGATTAATGAATTAAAGCCCAATTAGGAAATTAGAAACCAGCTTAGGTATTTCAAACTGAATTTAAAACAGAAATTGGTTAGAAAGCTGGAAGAGCAAAAAGGAAAAGGAAGGGGACTGGATGACAGAAAAGAAAAAGAGGGGAGGGAGAGTTCAGAAATTGCCAAAAGTGTGTACCTGCTGTCGTAATTGGTCCCACATCTGCTCACATGGTGCTGCCTGGACCAGAGCTAAAGCTGCTGATAACTATCTTTGGTCTGTTGAAATCGCCACTAGCTACCACTATAGCAAATGCCAACAACTGTCACAGTGCTGGAACCTGTGCTGCCGTCAGATCTTCCCAACAGTTCCACCTATTGACCAAACCCAACAGGAATCCACCTGGCAAAGAAGTCTGGGAAATGTAGTTTGAATATCCCAACCCAGAAGAACCACAGAATATAGGAGGATGAGAGAGAGAGAGAGAGAGAGAGAGTGTGTGTGTGTGTGTGTGTGTGTGTGTGAAGTGAGAGGTGAGAGACCCGAGTACCTATAGCAAGTAACCACAATCTTCCCTTTTAGCTATTAAGCATTCCCACATACTCCCTACCCATATGTAAATTTCTGTACAATTATTATGCTTCCATCCATGCAGATTTAACTATTTTTTGTACAAATGAAGAGATTTTCACCTTTTCCCCCAAAGGGGGAGAACTAAAGTCCCATCAGTTACTATTATACTCACTGGTGTTAATTCTTCTAGTTCAATCACAATTCTACAATTCCCCCTGGATATTCTGCAACCTAAAGATGAAACTGTAAAGTTCACCAACATCAACATCTCTTATATAACTTGAGGGGAGGAAAGGGAAGAACTTGAGGGAAGAGGGAAGGAAAAATAGTCAATATATACAAAGATATACAGAACAAGCAATGAAACAAATTTTCATGAGTACTTTGGTACTTATTTCTATAACTGGTCATGAAACTACAGCTGATATTTATAACTTCTTCCTCTACTCCATTCTTCTTTGCTTTTGGTCAGTACTTTCACTGGTCAAGGCTCTCTACCTAGTATGGTGGCCAAAAGTTCATTCTGGAAGGATCTAAGTCCTCAGTAGTTGAGTTGCTTGTTAACTGTGACTATTGAACAAGAAATATTAAGGGGCAACCCAACAGAGAATTCCCTGGGCTCCTGATATAGTTCTTGTTGACCTCATTGTGTATCAGTAACCCAATTTTGCTGTAATAATCAGGATCAATCACCCCAGCCATTATGGGAACCTCTTTGCTTGTTGGTTTAGTATCATAAGGAGCCTAATATATTCAAGTGTCAATCTCAACTTCTAATTCATTTTGTGTGCCCTGGTAGAAACATTCTTTCCATGGGAACTAAGACTGCCAAAGTTTAGCCCAAGTTTACGGAGATGGCAATAAAAAATTCTGTGAGTGGATTATTAAATATAATGTGGACAGAAATCCATCCTATTTGTTATTCCTTGATTTCTGGACCCTTGTATTCTGGCAGTGGGACAAATACATCTTATACTGATCACTGATTCAAAGTACTTTTTTTATCTTGTATGATAGCACCTCAACCTTTCAGAGTTTTGTCTCCCAGCTGGCCAAATAACTGAGTCTTTTGTAGGTCATTATATTACTTTATAAAGCTAGCCAACTTCTGGGTGATTTGGTACATGGAAAGACCTATGCATTTCATAGTCATGAACCCATTGCTACATTTCTTTTGTTATGAAATAAATATCTCATTTAGAAGTTATATTGTCCTCTCACAATGTCTATAATATTGTGGTTGGTAGTATTATAGGAATTCATATCCAAAATAAGTATTTTATGAAGACAAATTGCTGGCCCTTCCACTAGAGAAGAGATCCAATGTGATTAACTAGCTGCTAGGCAGCTGGTATCTCCCAGGAAGTGAGGCCCTACTGGTGGCTCAGCATTGATCTCTTCATAGCACGTTAGGCTCTTGGCAGTGATAACAGCAAGATCAACATTGGTGAGAGAAATTTTATGTTGCTGAGCCCATGTATAACTTCCATTCCTGCTGCCATATTTGCTTTGTAGAAGAGCCCACTGAGCAAGCACTGGGATGCTAGGGAAAGAGAGTGACTGATGTCTACAGAATGAGTCAACCTGTCCATTTGATCAGTGAAGGCTTTCTCCACAGTGGTTGCCCTTTGATAAACATCACATGGGACACAAATATCCTCATATTTTGTGCTGATCCTGAGGGGTCCATTCACATATCTCTGCCCCAGATCTCCTTGTCATTAGTCTTATGATCTCATTCTTTCAAAGTGACTGATTCCCTGGCCAGTCCATTAGTTACTGCCCATGAAATACTGTAGATCTACACCATGGACATTTCTTTACCTAGACAAAGTAGACAGCCAGAAGTACTGCTCAAAGTTCTGCCCACTGAGAAGATTTCACTTTCACCTTTCAGAGACACTGTAGACTGGAATGGTAGTTGCTGAAGCATATTGTGAAGAACCATCCATATCCTACGCCTGAGTTCTTTCTTCTTCAATTAACAAGTTATGGGTACTCCCCATGACACCAAGAAGAAGCTGTGCAATAGTTGCTATAGGCATCGGAGCCACTTGATCATGTAGCTTGCCTGAGCCTTCAGGACCTGCTTGAGCTTGATTTTGTACACATCACTTCATTGTACATACTCAAGATTTCATGGATGAAATAATACCCATTTCATGATAAAGGTAGCTCGGGTCACATGGTCAGTTGGTATTCCACAGTCAAGTGTTCAATCTCATCCAAGATCTAGAAACAAGCTAGGAGCTCTTTTTCAAGAGACTGATAATTATACGTAAAAGAGAGCATGGCTTTGATTTAAAACCCCAAGTTCCATTGTGCTTGTGAGGGGCTCTACATAGCATCACCACAGGC